AAACAAAGCTGACTCATGGTTGCAAGTTCAGGATAAAGAACCGGTAAAAGAAATGTTCATGTAGATGTGAAATATAAGTGCTGTCGGATACTTTCTCCATAATGGTTCTTCTGAGTGAGCCGACAACTTGTGGCTGTTGAGGGGAAGAAATGTTCGGGGCCTGCTTTCGCCGACCACCAGGAATGGCTACTTGGAATTACTTCCTCAACCCTAGTGTCTGGTGTACGCTCTGTGGTGCTTTCCGAGTTTGCCTCTAAATCATACGTCGACTCCAACTCGTGTTCGGATGTCGTTTCATAATGCTTGGTATGCACAGTCCCTAGCTTTTTCTGTTACGCCCACCCTATTTGACTGGTCATGCCGAGATCTTCCAGACCTTTACCGTTTGTCTAAAGGTAGTTTGAGTTTGTGCACTGCTCTGCCTGCTGTTATTATCAATAGGCTTAGCTCAAGAAGCAGGTATTCACCATATCACGCAAATGCCTCCGGTTTGGCTGCTGTAGATATACACCAGTTTGGGTTAAAATGACCAAGAGCTACGATTTTTACTCTGGACTTGGTCTGACGGGAAAGTGTGGTATTTCTTTTTTTATCGCGACCACAATTACTGGGGCCCTCTTAGTAACAATAGCCACATCAGACGGATTCAGAAAGTGAATGTGTGCCCTCAATTTCTTGCAACAACCTCGCTCTCCTGTGTGGTTGCGGCATCTGCGTCGATTGATTGTTAGCTTCGGTACTTAAGCTGGTTAATAAATTGGATATCATTCTCTAGTCAGATACTTGAACTGAGTTTTACTGCTTGCCACTCGTCTTCTGCCTATTAAACATTAAGACTAAGTGGGACCGCAGGTTAGAGGTTTCCTGTTCGTTTAAGTCCGTAAGATTGAACTAGACGCTCACGGCCATCATTTTAATCAAGAGAATGATCGATTGAAATAAGCCGATCGTCAGATGACTGTACGCCTCCGACTGTAGCCTCCGATGAGGTCTGAGCTAAGGGAATTATTTCCGACGTTTGGACCAAGCTTTCCGCAGGCTGGCATGCTGCTTCTGTGTCTGTCGTCGCATGGATCTGCAGCGGGTTTGTGACGTTACTTTTGTCGTGTACTTAACCGACATTCTAAAAACGCATTAGGACTCGTACATTTTCGTTTTGATTCAGTGTGGTAGGCATATCTTTCAACTATTTACAGCTAGCATGAATCCTTACAATTTGCTGCTGCGGCAGGAATTGGGCTGGGATTTAACAGGTTTGTCACGCCCAGTTTCCGAGTGTCGGTAGGCATTACTTAAACGACCTCGAACTAACTGGCCAAATCACCATTACCCCCTTATTTAGTGGACAAGTAGGCGGTCGTATTCGAGCTGATGAACATCATTGAGGGGTGTACAACAATTGGTCTTAGGTGTTCGCCTTCCACTGGTACGACAGTTTTAGACATCGACTATGGGGTTGAAAACCTGGAACGGCAAATTAGAAGTCAGGGTTTTGATTCCGGAGACGCGTGTTAAAAGGTCCAGCGACTACCGAGAAGCCTGGTCAGCATATCATACTAGACGTCGGTTACCTGCCTTGTCCATTATTAAATCTATTTTAAATGAATACGGGTTTGGTATAGTGTAGACACTGGCTGGCTAGTAGCCCTTGTTGCATCAGGAGTCCCGCCAAATTGGCCTCAATCCCGGTGGTGAGGAGGAGTCGGATCAACGTGGTCGGGAGGGACTGCTCCGTCATTAAAAACGGATATGAAAGGGAGGGGGGTTGGATCGACCGTAGGGAGATTGGTGTAGCCGTGAGGGCGGGTGGTAACACGACGAAGACGCGTCTGCTGTGGTTCCCTAGTGCAGACGCGTAGGTAATCGGCGTGTTTCCGTTACAGGGGCCTCATGTTCGGTTCGACACGAAGCTCGTCCAGGTCCGGTAACGTGGCGACCTTTGGGCGATTTTAGGTAGGTCGCCTAGCTTATGGGACTAGAAGATCAGTCTGGGGACAGCACACACGTTGGCAGCAGATAGCCCTCGCCTGAAGCCATGGTTGTATCAACTGCGATTCTGCTCCATTGTTAAATTTTTTTGGTGGCTTATCCCGAAGTTACTGATTTCACGAGTTTGTGCAATTTTGGCGTGTGGTTGCGCTAGAGGCGTCACGTGCTTGCTCAAGGGTCGTCGGGAAATACGTGCACGTAAACGTACTTGCGTTTTTACTATGGGTGCCAGGATGAGTCGGAAAAGGTGTGATTCCTCGTTAGCTAGATTGTCACTAGCGTATGCTTGTTGCAGCACACATTCGCGTGGTGAAAATTTTGGAAGGGTAATGAGTGAATGAGAGCCTACCAGTTTGTTCTTTTGATCGTACGCTAACCTCACTGCCAATCGACAGTTACCCAGATGAGAGAATGCCAACATGCAAGGAGAGTAGGTACGGCTCCATAATCAGTACTTCAAGTATTGGAATCAATGTAGGAAGCATAAAAGATCCTGACCAACAGTAAAAAAATCCAGATATCATCTGGATGGGCTTTGGGTTCCTGAGTGAAATACGTGCTTCAGACAATGTTTGGTGTCAAGAAAAGCAATCCACAGGTGCTCTCACACCCCTGCCACGCAGCGACAGGATTCAGCAGGGGAGGGGACGCAGCCTATGTAGGTTATGGACTGGGGATACCACGACTCTAGGAGCATTACGCCAGGGTCGGTCGCAAAGGCTGGTTGGCAATAAACGCGATTTCAAGTGCCCTGCTTACAGGCAAACCAGTCAAATTTTCATTTTTAGTCTCTCCGGAAATCCGACCCATGATTTTTCGAACGAGAGTAACCAGTTCGCCACACTGTTCCTCCACGCAGCTGGGTGCCTTCGCGGCTGCTGGCTATTTTGCAAAGGCAACTGACAACCATCACTTGTCCCAGATTGATCCCACTCGGTGATTTGCCTCCGACCGGTCGATTACGCGAACTGGCGCGCATTTGCCCTAGCACAAGCCAAAGGCTTCATGTGTGCTCTCGCTGGCAGGTGGTTATGCATTAGGCTGGCCCAAGTGGTGTTCCACCCGAGCCTCGAACTCGCAAGCTTTAGGATCAGAGTCTAAAGCTCTAACCATTGAGCCACCAGCTCGTTGTCTTTGCTGGTTTAGGTTGGGATATATTGAAACTTGTTGATGAACGTTCACCTGAGTGCTAACGGAACGGCCCAAGGCAGAACGGG